GTTTGGCTCGATCAGCTGATCGAAGTAGAACAGTATCAGCATAGTTCTAACGAATCATAATGATTGATCATTTAATTATTCATATGATTCATTATCTATTATCTGCCTTACTCACAACTTTATTAGCCATGAACATCGAGACTGACCGTTAGCTTTTTTACGCTGTTTGTATTTTAATCACTTCAAAAGTTGGAAACCAACAAAGTACACAAAAAGGAAGAGGTCGTTATTAACAAAATCGTACATATTCTCTCATAAATTTCAATTTTATTTTACCTGCTTTGTCATGTTGACTATTTTTCCGGCTCAATTTGAGTTATTAGTATCTGGTCTTGGAGTATAAAACGGTAAAACCCGAAGTTCCAGCCACTTTGAGCCGATTTTATCTCGATTGATCACCTCAAGGTGATCCAATCTTGGCCATCAATCAATCACTCAATATGTTCTTGACTAAAGATTAATTGAGAAATAATCTAGGGAGAAAGATATGCGAAAATGCATAAGTTCAGTAGTTTCGTTACCATCGTTATGTGTTGCTGTATGTGAAAAACAAAACGATGAATAAATGATTAGCCAATAGACGACAACACATTTTCATTCTACAGTCTGCGGCTTATTCTATTTTAGTGTATTTGACTGATTGCAATGCGAGAGGTCAAAATTAACTTCGATAGAAAATATTTTATATTGTATCGTGTTCTTTTTCGAAATGAGGATCATTTCAAAACTCTTTCTCATTTTTATCACTCAGATGCTTTCTTACCGTGCGCGTATATGGCCAAAAGGTAAACATCTGCAAAAATAACAAAATGTATGAAAAAATTCTCTTTACACCATAACAAATTTGAAAGTGTTCTTGTCACACCAAAACAGCTAATGCTCTAGAGAATTGCCTCTTCAGCATTCATTCGGTCTTAACGATCTTTTCAATATATTGCTTATCATACCCAGTCTATAGATTTTCGCGATATTAGATACCTATGAACCAATGATTATGGAAGGAAATGGAATGAATGTAATATAATGAACAGTGTCACATTGATTTTTAATGCATTTTGATTGATTCCAACTCGCAAACATGATTTAAGAATATAGACAGATAGTGGTAAAAAGCTGTTCATGAGATGCAATCACATAGAAAGAAAGCAAAGAAGAAAGAATAATGTAATGCTGAGTTTCTTCAGTTGCCTTTTGTCTACAGATTGTTTTATCACATTTTCACTCATTGTACAGACATGAACGAAAGGAAAAAAAAACCCGGTAACACCGATAATAAAAATTCGTTTTTTGTATCATTGTTAATGAACTTTTTTGTTGACCTATCTTGTCTATCATAATTGGATCTTCAAAATAAACTCAAAAAAATCATGAAATCAACGTTACAGCCAAGTTTTGTTAGTCGTGAAATAAACTGTTGTGTTGAAACAAAGACATTGAGCATAAAATACAATGATGGTATTTGATGTTTGTAGCTACTGGATGAAGACGGAAAGAAAGATTGGTGTCTTCAATATTGCCACTAATTTTAGTTTAACAAATACCAGCGGTTCTTTTCATTAGATATCAATTGTATTCAAACATATATATGATTCTCTTTCACATGTATACAAGGACAAAATAGTTATCAATAAATGTATGTTTTCTGATATACGTTTATAATAAACATAGTTCTAATGATGCATGTTTGCACAGGACAGGAGTTTTTCTCGTTGCCATGGTAACATATTTAAATTGTGTGAGTTTTAAATATGAACAAACAAAGTTTGAATATTATTTCTATATGAATCGTAGAAATTGATGCAAAATGAGTACTTACTATAAGCAAAATTTTGTGTTATTATAAACATGTTTCGGAATGAATATAAATCAAAAGTCACTTTAGCAATATTGTCCGTGATAATATATTCATATATTATGCATGGGACGACTTAAATCCATAACTGCAATTAGGTAGCTCTTAAATTATTGCAGCATCTATTGGTAGCAGCTTGTGTGCGTTTCTAAATGTAATTAGGATAATAACTCATATAAAACTTTTTTCTGTTTGCTTTACTAATCTGTAAAGTATTCATTAAATTCTTTCATACATTTTTAAATTGATGATAGGTATTTCGATTTTTCATCATTTTCAGTCATCAATCATACCAATCATCAATACTTCAATCACCATGAGGCACGATATATATTACTGAGAGCTATGCATAACGAGAACAATTGTTTTACTACAATCACTTCTTAACGATCGGCAGCAAATTCAGCAAGTAAAAATCGCTGGTTAATTGTTGCCAGAATTAAAAATAAAATTATGTTTATTCTTGTTTCATTCATATTATCAGCATGTCAATCATATGCATAATGAGAAAAAACCAAACTAGCGCACTCCTAGTCGTTGTTTTCATACTTGCTAAAAAGAGAAAAAAAAATATTCTTTCGAAAAAATCAAAGGAAAATATACAACGTATGAGACAAGGTATCTAATGCAACGAAACTTAAGTCACGGTTCACATAAAACACAAATGAAAGTTGGACAAAATAATCATAAAATAGATGACTTTGTTGGTTTTTTTCTCTTTCATTTGTTGTTGACAATCATATTACCAATTGCAACTTCGTAGAGTTTCTTCTTCAGCGCCAACGAAACAGAAAAATATCCATTTTTGATGTAGAAAAATCTAGAAAAAAAGCAACAAACATCGAATGTACAAATAGGAAAGGTTGTCTTTCCAAACAACAATCTATTATTCACAATATATAACTACCAATCGAAGAGCAAGCATTAAATTAAAAATGAGTGGACAACGAAGACGACGCATTCCTGAAAATGACTTGGTCATCTGGGTCTATGGAACTATCAACACAGCAAATGAAGTCAATCCTTACACGACAACTGAACAATATATTTCAACAGCTCAATGAATATCCTAAGGAAACATTATTTGTTATCTCTTCAGATGCACTTTGACAGCATCTAGCACCAAACATTCATGGCATACTAAAATTGGAGATCATGTACATGTTTTGCGGCAACACACAACGGGATCAAGTATGAATCGAAAATTGTACAAAAATCAAAGGTGATCATACATTCATCGAATCCATATGCGAGGCATTGCAACTAGCTGTCTAGCAATGCAATCAAGGCAGCATATCGATGAGCATTATTAATGTTAATAAAGGAGGTTTTAGCTAAAATCTAAATCAGCTTTAATCGATCTTCATGTATTCAAAAATATATTGAAGGAAATACTCCTTGATATGGAACATGATCCAAAAACCGTCGAAGAGTTGGTTACCTTTTGCTCAAAATAATACTAGAACAATACCAAAGAAATGGAAATTATTGAAGAATTCGAACCTGAAATGGATATACGCAGAGCGGACCATGTCTTAGTGGAAGGGCAATGAACGTAGATATAACGTAAGAAACGATGACAGAAACCTACAAACATAGGGATCTTCCCAACTATTACACTGCTTTTGCCATAACAAACACATGGAATTCCCTCCCCAGAGTCAGCTTGTGATGCCACCTGACATGTTGTGATATAATATCATACTGCACCCTACTACTACACAAGAACACAGCTATTGTAAAAGAAAGATAATCTAACATATAGAAAAACATTTTTCAACGTTCAGGTATTATGATCAATACATGCATTTGATGTATTTAAACAAAATAAAAACTATTCCATCTGGAATAGATGATATGCCTATTTTATCAGTAAACATGATTCCTAGAAGTCTTATAGACCACCGGGACTTCTAAATTTATATCCCTTCTCTCAATTTGAAAAAATATTAAATTAGTTTGCATTATTCTATTACTTTATTAGTTCTGAATAGAAAAATATTTCCAAACAGCATACCTTCATTACATTTTTATTTATGACTTAGACTATATAAATGTTCATTTTAATTTAATAGACTCTAATATAAATATATTTTAATATAATATAAATTCTTTCATATAATTTTCATTGTAGTTCATTTTGTACTATTAATAGTGATAAACGAATTGACGGAAACGATTTCATTGAAGCCGATAATTCGACTTCGGTACATTCTAAATAATGTTACATATTCGTGATAAATTTTCTTACTTAAACTGGCACTGTAAATAATTTTAATACAAATGTAATCATTTCAAACGAAACAGTAACATCGAAGTGGATAGTTCGACCTCTGAAACATTGAAATCAAATTATAATTTAATATACCATCGAATAATGTTTATAAATAATTGTAATAATCTCTTTGATTTCGACCAAAACGATATAATCGAAGTCGGTAATTCGACTTCGA